CTCTCTCTCTCTCTCTCTCTCTCTCTCTCTCTCTCTCTCTCTCACACACACACACACACACACACACACACACACACACAAACAAAAAAACAAACTTCTCCCCCCTTTGTTTTTGGAGGCCCCGCGCGGCCTCAAAATTTTGTTAATTTTTTTTTACGGTTTATGACGCGACATCCCACTCGGGTCTAAAACACCGCTCCCCAACTTTTTTTTTTCCCTCGACCCCTTATTTTCGGGGTGCGCCGCACCCAGTGCGCACGAGTCGTGCACTGTGCGCAGTGCGGCGCATGTGCACGGTGCAGCGCACGTCGATGCGCCGCAAGTATGGTTTGTTCTCAATTTGTCTACTTGCAGTCGAATACCTGACTGATTATTTGATATTTCATTGTTGTTGTTTGCTCCCAATTCTTGTTGCCAGTGTGCTCAATCTCTACTACTTCTACTTGAACATTTGTTTCCATTTTTTTTTTTTCAAGTACCACAAAATTGCTGATCGAATTGCACCGCTCTCAAACATCATCTCTTTGCACGAGAAGAGGTCCACCTCCGCCCCCCATCCATGGTATATTTTGCTCGGTGGAAGATTAGCATCTGAGAACCAATAGCCAAAATCAATACCTTTACGGAAACTCCCAAGGGGTAGGGCACACACCTTGAAAGGTCAAAAGACTCCGCAAACATTTTAGCAAGCACTGCCTCTCCACGTAGTAAAACAGTGACACCTACAGCAAAATAGGGAGCAAGAGGAACAAGGTTAGAGGGAAAGAACTCCAACTGTGTCACGCATCCCTTCCTTTTTCGATGCCCCGTATTACCCATGCATGAAGTTCATGAACAAAAAAAAGCCAACGTTCAAAAGTCCAGATGCAAGATGCAGAAGGTAAATAGACACGGTGCAGTTGAGCAGGACCTAATCCTGCATGCCATGCAATCTTTTGTACCTCATACAGCAGACCGCAAATGAACAATAACAGCAGAATCCCTTTAATTCAACCGTGTGGACGAGGGGTGCCCTGTTCAATTGAGACAAACCACTTGCCACTCTTCTGAGGCAACACCGCAACCAAAAACACAGGCACGTGCATGAACAGAAAGCGAACATGCGCAGATGCAAATCTTTGCAGTCCATCCAGTTCCACGACATAGGATAAAGCAGACAACGCAACAGACAGACTCCTGCAGGTCAAGCAAAGGTTGAGGTCCACACGATAGGGTCACACACACTCCGAAAGCCAACACAACCGCAACTTCGGAGGCCGAAAAGGACTGGCTCAAGACAGTAGCTACAGATGTGCTGGGTTACAGAATCGCCAACAGAGCTCTACAAGCACAATCTCACATTGGCATTCCGAGCTCGTGTAGGCCATCTGTGACATTCCCAACATGCCACTTCCAATTGTGAGTAAGATTGGGGGGATTCAAGCTCCCATGGTCTATGAGGTTGTTCCTGAGTCTGGTCTTTTAACCAGGTACCCTGAATCCTGTATAATCACTGTCCAGTCAGTGAGTGGGAATAGTGTAATAACCCTGTTCAGAAGTAGCCTGGGGCCCAGAACTCAGCCCCAGGCCACGCAGACCTGAGATAGTCTGCGCTGGGCTGTGTGACCAAGACACGCCCAGGTCTGAGTCTGTCGTGAATGGCTGTGTGACCGAACACTGCACACAGGAAATTCACGGGTCAAAGTCAACTGGAGAGTCAAAGGTACCGCACCCAGGCCCTTGGTTGGATACAATCACTTGTTGTGCGCAGGTACCCAGACAGCATACAGGCCGGAGAGAATTCGGTTTCAGACCAATCTGGGCCCTCGTTTGCATTGAGATCTGGACGATTGAGGGATGCAGAACCGGGGTTCAGACCCGGCGTCAACGCTACATAAGCGCTGACTTCCTGGCTTTGACATTCATTCTGTCTTGCGTTGACGCTGACTTCACGCGTTGACTTCAACGCTGGCTCGACTGCGATGCTGGCATTGTGATTCGGCGAGGTGCTGCTGGTCCAGCATAGTGGCTGGCTTGCTCCTGTCTTCTTGGCATGCTGACGTGGCAGTTGTCATGCGCTATCGCTGATGTGGCTGCTGCCACGTGTATCATTGGCTGACGTGGCTGCTGCCACGTGTTCTATGGCTGGGACTACGTGATCGGCATTGCTGTTCTGTTTCATCGTCGCCTCAGGAGGAGATCAGGACTGTGAAGAGTTCGTGGATACGTACCTGGCTGTCTTCATGTCGACATTGCTCCAGTGCTAATGTGGGACTGATTAGACGTGCCACGTGGCACATTGAGGCTCGTTCAGACTATTGATTATTGAGGTGGTAGTAGAGGAGGGAGCTCAAAGCAGGACTCCTTTGTCTCATCTCCCTCCTCTCTCTTCGTCTGTGTATGATTACCTCATCTCATTCTGTCTGGTTACGATTTTGACTAATAGTAATCATCAGCCGATGGACATTTATCTGGGCTTGCATTGTTGACGACTGTTTCCACGATCTGGATTCATTGCAATAGCCTCATTTACAATCTGTTTTTTTTTTTTTTTTTTTTTTTTTTTTTTTTTTTTACCTGCAACCAATTCACAATATATGTGTCTCATCCTTGCGCGCAGGGGCCATGCTAATTTTCGCTGTACCGTGCCAATTTTAACGGATGTAGCCTCATATACAACCTGAAGGGTTCTTTCTCCACAGGAACGTAGACCACACAACAATTCTTGCAGGTCTTCCGCTGTTTTCCACTGGCTCCTTTCTTCACCCCTTAGGTGATTCAAGGTGGCACCTCTCGGAATCCAGGCGTGCCCGCAGTCTCCAATGTCTGAAATGTGAAAGGACTGTCCATCTTGCTCCAACAGATAAGCGTTCTCCAATAAACACACTGCAACAACAGTCTGTCAAACTGAAGAGCGACCGGTTTTCTTTTGCAAAAATTTATTTTCCATGCCGCAGCGACCCCCCACCTTCCAAATAGGCGAGGTGATCAGCGGTGTCATTTCTGGCCCGTCCCAAAGGTCAAACTTGTCAGCCAGAATGTCGGCTGCCAGTGCTTTCCATGTATAGCCGAGTCGGCGGCAAAAATGAACCGCGCTTGCCACTTGGTGAGCAGCACTGGCACATGAAGTTTAGGATCCAGGAGGCACAGTCCCCCGCCGTGTCGCCTTTGTATCACCTTGTCCAAGGCCACTTTTTTAACAAGATTTGTTCTTGTTTTTTCTTCTTTCCACAGGTACATTCATACTACAAAATGTGGCTTGCTCTTTCATACCTTTACACAAATGACAGAGACATAGGACATACGGTTGGTTCATGCCAAACTCTCTTGCAAACACTGAGTTATTCAGAGCAAGTGCCCTGCCAAATAGAGCCGCTCTTTTATTTTTGGTCCATGCAGCCAACGTTTGGTCCACTTTCTGAAGCACACTGAGTTATTCCAAGTACGTGCCCTGCCAAATAGAGCCGCTCTCTTTTATTTTTGGCCCATGCAGCCAACGTTTGGTCCACTTTCGGAAGCAGCCGGGTTTTGGATTGCTGCAGTCCTTCCACAAAACTGATACCCAAGCAGGCACTGTGATTCATTACGTCAGTAGTGTGGCAAGGCAAACATACTGCTTTGCTTTTCTGGTGTTTCATCACTGGCAGCTGCCAGCTTTGCTGCCTGGCTGGTGTTGAGTCTCGGCCCTAGTTTTCAGCAGTCAAAATGAAATTATGCAAGAACGAATGAATGCCATGCGAGGGGCATACCTGCGTAAGGCCCCTGCAGCAGACGCATGCCCCTCCCCCTAAGTGAAGGCGGGCCCCTGAATCTCATGGAGCCCGGAACTCGTCAATTTTTGCAAAATCTTGATGGGCGCCAGACAGTTGTCACGCGCCAGTCGGTTACATCCACTTTACTTGTGAGAATCTGAAATATTTGTGAGCCTTCCGGGCTCTTCCAGCAACGTGGGGAAAGCAGGGAACACTGCATGTTTGTGCCCGGGTGGTTGGGCATTCCTAACCAATTCTGTCCCTGGCCACCGTCTGAACCAGGACGGTTGCAGACACTTTGGCCCAACTCCAGGCTAGAGGGCACACGCGTGGCCCAGCCAGGCGGCAAAGCTGCGAGCACTTTCCATTTAGGAAAGTGCCCACTTGGAGGTGAAAGCGGAAGCGCTGCTGGAGCACGAGCTCACGGCTGCTTGCTGAGCGCTAGCGCAGGTGCCAGGCGCACGCGGACATCGGAAGAACAGGGTGCTGCATGAGGGCAGCGCCACAGCCAGCCCCCATAGCCGGACTTTGCTTGGATGGTCAGCGATGGTGGTGGTGGGCTTCATGTGTAGTGGAGACGTGGGTGAAGAAGACGAGGGTGAGCGACAGAGAGAGAGAGAGAGAGATGAGGGGTATGATGTGAGGGCACGTACCATTTAGGAAAGTGCCCACTTGGAGGTGAAAGCGGCAGCGCTGCTGGAGCACGAGCTCACAGCTGCTTGCTGAGCGCTAGCGCAGGTGCCAGGCGCACGCGGGCATCGGAAGAACAGGGCGCTGCATGAGGGCAGCACCATATCCAGCCCCCATAGCCGGGCTTTGCTTGGATGGTCAGCGATGGTGGTGGTGGGCTTCGTGTGTCGAGACGTGGGTGAAGAAGACGAGGGTGAGCGACAGAGAGAGAGAGAGAGATGAGGGGTATGATGTGAGGGCACATACCTGGTCATGACGCTGGTCTACAGGGTGGACATCTACTTCGGTTGCTGCTGCTGACGTCAACCAGCCGCTTCGTCATTTCGTAGGCTGATAGGGTAGTTGTAGGATCATCGTAGTCTGGTCGCTGGGTGCCGATAGGAAGTAGAGCTTCAAAGACATTGTTGGTGGTGGTGAGAGTATGCCTTCATTGACAATTGAGATGGGTGCTTTCGTTCCCTTCAGTGTGATATCAGTGCATTTCTGCTTTCTGAACAGCATTCCACTATCTGCCTTTCGTCATGATTTTGCATACTGGAATTCGGTCATTGCACTATCGCTCATTTTCCTTGCAGCCATTTCTAACCAAAGAAAAAGAAACTAGATCACTATCCATTCCATTTCGCCCAGCAGTGCAATGCTGTCAAGGAGCACGCCGCCTTTCATCCCCCCCCAGTTAAGATAGGCCCCCCCGTTAAGATAGGGAGGCCTGAAACACGACACAGTAGGCCTGCCAAAGGATCAAACATCCTAAAACAGATCCAATCCGTGAGGGCGTACTCAGACTAGCTCCATCTTAGTTGTATCTAACCGCATTTATGGCCACAATTACGTGCACAAATAAGTAGAAAAAGTTGTCGTGTATGTCCTACGGTAAGGGAATTCTACAACAGATGCGACTGCTGTGTGCAGCAGATTTGACAGCACATGTCCGACAAAAATGTCAGGACCGTTTCTCGAGTTATGCGTGTGCCCAGTTGTTTGTTGAGGGATTCCAATCCTCCCTGGTTCCCATTTCGCTTCTGCCAAAAAAAAAAAAAAAAAAAAAGGCAGGCGNGGATGAAGTCAGGGGTGGTGAAGTGGCTGAAGCAGAGACAGGGGAGATTAAGAAGTGAGATCGATCCTACTTCCTGTCGCCATATCTGCCCAGGGTGCTTACCGCTCAAGGAAGGTCACCAATTGTCAATTGTACAAACAACTTAGAGACAGGCCCCTCTGTCCAGAGATGGATGCGTGCGCAGATGCGACTGCCGTCACTTGTATCAAAAAATATAACCTTGTCTGTGCCATACGATCGTTATGCTCAGGATAGAGGAAGGGCCGATGACACGAGAGCAGCCCCTGGACAAGGGCGGTCACCTACTGCATAAACAACTTAGAGACGGACCTCTCTCTCCAAGACAGATGGGTACGCAGATGTGACTTCCCCATCAGTTGTATCAAAAGATAACCTTGCCTGTGCCATACCGTCGTAATGCTCAGGATAAAGGAAGGGCCGATCGCACGCCATCCATCCGAACATCACTCCTGTCATCACTAAATGGCAGTGAAAGCGTCTTTTCCCATACAAGAAGAGCCAGGCCTCCCTCTCTCTTGAGCATTGAGACGGTTATTCAAACAAGACATCTCAGAAGTGCATGGCAGTGCACGCGTCCTCTCCCATAGAAGAAGAGTCAGGCCTCCCTCCTCTCCAGGCAAGCAGGTAAGCAGGCATCCAAACAAGGCATCTCATGCAGAACTGCATGTGTTTCAAACAGATGGGAAAGGTCGGCAACCATTCACACGCAATGCATCACAACAAGAGTGTGTTTGTGCGTGGGTGCACGCATTGTGCCAAAACTTCAACAACATTGTTGTACTGCATCGGCGCATCATTTGTGCGCCAAAATTTTCGACGACATTGCTTGTGGTGGTGATGCGGTGAACCCTCCCCGAATTTTGGGCCTTCCATTAATCATCTCTCTGGAGTCTGGATGGGCGGTCCCAGTATTGATGTCTGAAAGAGAAAATGGGGGCATTAATTGTTTGGTAGGATGATAAGCTAAGGTCTCCTAGGAATTTGGATTTTGGACGCTCCTTTTATTTTATTTTTTATTTTATTTTTTTTAACGGACGCTCCACGTTCCATTTTGGATTGTGTGGCTTTTCTGGCATATATGGCCTTTGTTGTTTTTTCCCCCCCAAGGATTGCGGTTTGTCGACACAGCGGTCTAAAAGTGGCCATTTCTGTTCTTGGACAGCTCCCAATGCCTGCGCACCTAAGCTGGGTAATGGTCCCAGTGTTTTTTCTTTCTCCCGGTTGTTTGTTGAGGGTTTCCGAGCCATTACTTCCCCTTTTGTAATAAAAAATGAGCTGAATTTCTTTGTAAAATTAATATATTATATTTTATATTATATTATATTATATTATATTATATTACATTATATTATATTATATTATATAATTTAAAAAAAAACTGGGACCATAACCCAGCTTCAGTACAGCTGTCGGGGTTGACATCCAGAGACAGAAATGGCCAAAACCAGACCGCTGTCCTGATAAACGCCCGACCCTCGGAAGGACCCCCCCCCCCAACATTTCATGGGTTAACGAGTCCGAAAAATGAAATCAGGGTTTGGGAGTCAAAATTTCATGTTTTTCTTGCCTCCGGTGACCCTCTCTCTGGAAACATGAACACAAAATGCTTGCATTTGTGTGCCTCCCTTTTGCTTTCACAACAAGGGTGGTAGGGAACAGAACAAAGGGGGGAAGAGAGGACAAGAAAACAGGACGAACACAATCATATCATCCCCATCATGCAAATGGATCTCACTGCCACAATGCAAATGCATCTCATTGGTAGTTTGAGCCGCACAACCAGTTTGCATTTTATTTTATTTTACTGTTTTATTTTATTCTATTTTATTTTATTTTATTTTATTTTATTTTATTTTATTTTATTTTATTTTATTTTATTCCGATCAGGATTCGAACTTGGGTCTGTAATTGAACAGTTCATGGGTGTGTACCAACAAAGCTAGGGTCGTTGGTAGTTTGCATATTTATCGGGCCCATGGATGGGCACAATAATCTTTGCTGTATACATATCTCAGCAATACGCCAACAGATGTTAGAACACCAAGGGAAAAAAAAAAAAAAAAAAAAAAGGGATGCGAACAATAGGGCCGGGGTCTACAAATTGAGTAGCACTAGTTCCCCCCCCCCCCCCCCCCCCCCCGACTGACACGTTGGATGTTTCAAGGACATCTCTGGCAAACCAGATCCCTGACATTGCACATAACAAACTAACGTTTCCTTCCTTTTGCCTTTTTTTTTTTAACACTTTGATGATCGCAGTCAGGTTGTTCCTTGTCAAACTCGTATCGGATCCCTGCCATGCTTGCTTTCTGACACCCCAATCTGCAATGCCCATCGAATCTCTCATGATTTCGTACGCATACAGAGACTCCACAAGCGTTCCACATTACTCAGAGCACTGTCAGAAAAGAAAGGCTTTGACATCGTGATTTCAGTAAGGCATACACATGTCAAATAGAGAAGAAAACGAGAGGGCCCCAACTTTTCAATTTCGTGGCAATAAAAAAAAAAAAAAAATGTGGAGAGGGAGCTTTGCGCATAACAGCGCACCCGTGCCCGTTAACCTTTGATATTTCAGCGTAGATTAGGGTTATGAAACCAACCTTCTCCAGAAAAGCTCTGTCCACTGGTGGCAGAGCAACACCTCCTCTATCCACACGGACAAATCTTGCCACTAGGATGTAGCTCTGCACCTGGTCAAGATCCTGCAGCACAGCAGACATCATTTTCTCCTTCAGACACAATTAAACAACGCACAAGTAAAGACAAGTTTTGAAAAGATTGGTTGTCATCGCAACTGCCTATAGCTGATCAGTAGTCTCACGATAATTTGACCAATCTGTAAATGAGATCAACTTACCTCAACTTACCTCAACTTACCTCAGCTTCCCTCTCTATATTCCGAATTGCATTTATCCGCTAAAAAATGCACATTAAACACCACAGGTGAAAATGCAAAATGCTGAAAATGAAAAATGTGAAAAACGAAAAAAAGGTGAAACCCTTGAGCTCCAGAAGAAGAAGGAAAACCCCAAAGAAAGAATCTCCAGGAGAAGCATCGAAAAGCAGAAAGAAAGAAAATGCAAAATGAAAAAATGAAAAAACTTCCAAAAAAATTGAAACCCTTAAGCTCCAGGAGAAGAAGGAAAAACACAAAGAAAGAATCTCCAGGAGAAGAAAGGAAAAAACAGAAAGAAAAAAGCCCCCTCCCCCCCCCCTCTCTCTTGGCTGCGCAATGAACTAAGAAAGAACCAACCCCCACCCCCTTCGGCTGCCCAATGAACTAAGGGCGGGCCAATTATTGAATCATCACAAGCCATATCTCGTCAAATAGAATATATATATATATCGTCAAATAGAACTGCCCGGTAAACCGTAGGCAGAGAGGGAGAAGAGGACATATATCGTCAAATAGAACTGCCCAGTAAACCGTAGGCAGAGAGGGAGAAGAGGACAACAAACGAGGGGCTGTGACAAACTGTTTCGTCGGAGTTTCACCGACTCATATATATATATATATATATATATATCGTCACAAATAGAACTGCCCGGTAAACCGTAGGCAGAGANGGGTGGAGAGGGGGATTAGAACAGAAAGCCTCTGGAGTTTCCAGATTAAGACTTGCCTGTGACATCACTCGATACATAGACACATGCACCGACCTGATAAAAGAGTCACTGGGTTATTAAAAAAAAAAAAAAAAAAAACAGTCACGGAAGGCCTGCATAGTGTATTGCCCATCCTTGCTTCCTCAGCCCCCAGCCCCTCCTCCTGTCCATCCCTTGTTCTCCTCCCCCTCCTACCACTTTCTCTGTAGGGCTCACTTACCAGCTGGCCCCCTCCTTCCTCATTCAGGGCTGACTTACCAGGTGGGTCCCTGCTTCCTCGTTCACTCCCCCCCCCCCTTCGATTTCAAATTGACTCATTCACTCCCCGCTCCTCTCCACCCCTTCTCCTCCTCCTCCTCCTCCTCCTCCTCCTCCTCCTCCTCCTCCTGCTGCTGCTGCTGCTACTGCTTTGTCTGTCGGGCTGACTTACCAGCTGGGCCCCTCCTTCCTCATTCACTGCCTTTAAGCCTGACTTAACAGGCGGGCCCCTCCTTCCTCGTTCACTCCCCCCTCCTCCTATCCATGCATTTCATTTCCACTTTGATTGTATTTCTGCCCCTATGACTCCGCCAGCGATTTCACTGGCTGTACATCATCAGCGACGTCAACCCGTACATTCAGTCATGTGCAGTTTGCCACCGGAACAAAGGGCACCATCAGCTCCCGTACAGCGAACTGAAACCATTGCCGATTCCTCGGGAGCCAGGTCTTCCTTGATCATCCCACCCCCTCCTCCTCCTCCTCCTCCTCCTCTCCACATCCCTCTTCTTCTCCTCCTCCCCTCCTACTACTGCTTTGCCTGTATGGTGCACTTACCAGGTGGGTGCTCACTTGCAGTGCGGCAGCCTTGATTTCTTCTTTGATTGTGACCATGCGACTCCCTAGCTTGAGAGCACGATCATTCAAAGCTGATTTCGAGCTTTCGCTTGGGCCCTTGAACATTGTGAAGGTGTTGAGCAGCCATTCATGATGAGCCTCCAGCTTGCTTGCCTGCACATTCCCATCACGCACCCACTCGTCAATCTGCTTTTGTCGAATAGAACGCAGCATGGTCACTGTCGCTGTATTGGGTGCAAATTTCAGTCTAAATACAACGATGATAACGACCGGAGATTTTAGTCGGGCTAGAATGCACGGTCATCATAGCTGTACTTGGAGCAGATTTCAGTCTAGATACGGCGATAATGACCGGGAATCCAATGCGCGTGCAGACGGTGTCATGTCACCATAAGCCCACCCACACTCGTTACTTTTTTTTTCCGTTCGTCAACAGTCTTCACCCGAATTGAACGCAGCATGGTCACTGTAGCTGCATTTGGCGCAAATTTCCGTCTAGATACAACGATGATAATGACCGGAAATTTTTCGTCGGGCTAGAACGCACGGTCATCATAGCTGTACTTGTCAGCAGATTTCAGTCTACATACAGCGATAATGACCGGGAATCATGTTCAGGTGAAGACGGTGTCATGTCACCACGTTCTTCACATTGCCCAATTATGCATTCAGAATCAGGGGGCATCAAATCCTTCTTTTTTTTTTCTTTTTTTTTTTGTTGTTGTTGGAAAAAACGGGCCCAGCGCCCAAGGCTTGTATTACTCGATGAATAAATTTTTATTTTTATTTTTTATTTTTTACCACACTCGGTGAGCTTCGCTCCCTTGCTCGGCAATTCCTAATCGGGTTTCATCAACCTAACGAACCTTGGAATTCAGTTAAACCTCCCCCTTCAACTATTAACAGGCACCACCTTCCAACTACACGTAATAGGCAATCTAATGAGTGGCACCACCTTCATGACATCATGTAATAGATCACATGATTACATGATTAGCACCAGCTTACCTGACGAATCATCATGTAATCATGTAATCATGTAATAATAGATCTGCACCTGCTTCAGCTAATAGGCAATCTAATGGGTGGCATGGGACTGTTCTTGCTTAGAGAGCCGACTGACAAATGCAATAGGAAAGGGAGAGGGAGGGGAAAGGGAGGAGAAGAGAGGCAGTGCTCGAAACTGAAGAGAAAAAGAGAGAGAGAGAGGAGAGAGAAGAGAGAGGAGAGAGGAGAGAGAGAGGAGAGAGAGAGGAGAGAGATGGTGTCCCGGGATGGAATAGCAGAGGCGACGCAGTGGCAGATTGGGAAGTAACGCAGTGGGAGAGAGCGAGAGAGAGAGAGAACGGGAACGATCGCGAATAGACAATCTAATGGGACGCATGGCACTATTCTTGCTTAGAGACAGCCGCTTGACAAATGCAATAGGAAAGGGAGAGGGAGGGGAAAAGGCGGAGAAGAGACGATGTGTCCTTGGAAAGGACGAATGAGAGAGAGGAGAGAGGAGAGAGGAGAGGAGAGACGAGAGAGGAGGTATGTCGGGGTGGAATACCAGAGACGACGCAGTGGCAGATTGGGAAGTAAGGCAGTGGGAGAGAGGGAACGCTACAGACCATGCGCGAAGCTGCATGTCCAACCCCCCAGTAGATAGAAAATCCGTATATATATATATTGTCACAAACAGAACTCCGTATATATATATATCGTCACAAACAGAACTGCCCGTCACAAGAATTCAGAGCGCAAATGCGAAAAAAAGAGAAAACAGGAGAAAGGAAAACCAGGGAATATTAATTTCATTTTTTTATCTTCTTCCTTATAACTCCCCCTGTTCAGAACCTCTTGCGTACAAGGCCGCCCACGTGGATGTAGGTTGAGCGGCGGCTGCCCCCACCCCCGTGTGTCATATCGACCCACTTGCACACAGCCAGAAGGCAAAGATATATATATATATATCGTCACATGAATATCAGAGCGCAAAGGCGAAAAAAACAGGGAAAACCAGGGAATATTAATTTCATTTTTTAATCTTCTTCCTTATAACTCCCCCTGTTCAGAACCTCTTGCGTACAAGGCCGCCCACGTGGATGTAGGTTGAGCGGCGGCTGCCCCCACCCCCGTGTGTCATACCGACCCACTTGCACACAGCCAGAAGGCAAAGAGGCAAAGAAAAGAGGAAGGGAACAGCCAAATAATACAGAACAGGGGGCAACAAAACAAATCCCAGATGACACGTCGCACATGCAAGCACCGCCCCGCAACTCACAGGCCAAACGACGGGACGAGACCAACCAGGATATCAAAACATTCTTATCTACAAAGAAAATAAAGAAAGGCTCCTGCGCCCTTGATCACAGTGTGACAACTAAAAAGAAGACAATCCCAGATGACGATTCCCACATACAAGCACCGCCCCGCGCTCAAAAGGCCGAACAACGGGAAACAACCAACCAGGATGCCCAATAACAAATTTGAAGCAGACAAGATTGAAACAAATCCTAAATGACAATCCTAGATGACAAGTCCCACATGCAAGCACCGCCCCCGCCAACTACAGGCCAAACGACGGGACAACACCAACCAGGATGTCAAAACACACTCGCCTGCAAAACGATAACCAGATGACCAATCCCACATGAAGCACCGCCATCCCTCCCTAAGATAGACCAAATAACGGGACAAGGCCAACCGGAATCGAAGCAAACAAGATTCTCATTCACAAAACAAACGTTCTACCATATCCATAGTAAAAAGACGGAACCATTCAGTAGGTCCGCAAAACGCAACATCCCAACAATAGGGAAGATTAAACAGAGAAGGAGGAAGAAGAAGAAAAAATACAACAGATTAAACAATATTATCTTCCATAAGAAAAGACAGAGCCTGCTAGTACAGGCCCGACGCTCGCCGCATCATCAGCAAAAGCTGAGAGCTAGCAACGTCGGAGTATATATTGTCACAAGAATTCAGAGCGCAAATGCGAAAAAAAGAGAAAAAAGGAGAAAGGAAAACCAGGGAATATTAATTTCATTTTTTAATCTTCTTCCTTATAACTCCCCCTGTTCAGAACCTCTTGCGTACAAGGCCGCCCACGTGGATGTAGGTTGAGCGGCGGCTGCCCCCACCCCCGTGTGTCATAYCGACCCACTTGCACACAGCCAGAAGGCAAAGATATATATATATATATCGTCACATGAATATCAGAGCGCAAAGGCGAAAAAAACAGAAGAAAACAAGAAATAAATAATTCGTTTTTTTATCTTCTTTCTTACAACTCCCCTTGTTCAGAACCTCTTGCGTACAAGGCCGCCCACGTAAAGATAAAAGACACTGCCCACCTACCTCAACGTACATGATATCCTGCATCGGGCATCGCTCCAGTACTCACCACCAATTGTGCAAAATGAGAATGAATCTTCCGCTAGAACATGGCAAGATTCACCGCCATACTCGTTGGCTTTTGTGGATGTGGCGAGTAGTGGAGCGACGCCCATAGGATGGTAGTCCCGAGCAAGCATGCCATTTCTTTGTCCCTTCATTTTTTCTTTAACTTTTTTTTTTAACCGTCCGGCCGAAAATTCTCTTACTGCAGACGGCTTCGACGAATTATCGCGTAAAGTCTCTTGTACATCAACAAAAAAAAAAAAAAAAAAAAAAAATCCGAACAGCTCGGTAACCGTCCGGCCGAAAATTTTCAAAATTGTGTGTGCCATCTGCTACAATCCGGATTCGAACTGGCGATCTACATTCTTCCCCCGAATACAACGTACGGTCGTTATAGCTGTATTTGAGGCATCTTTCAGTCTGGATACAGCTGTAATGACTGTACGTTGTATTCGGGGGAAGAAGGTAGTCACTAACAGTTGCATCATCTGTGTAACATTCAGCCACGTGGGATGGGGTCTTGACACCACTTTCCTTCTCCCAGAAATAGAAGATAAGGAAAGAGAGAGGGAGAGAGAGGGAGTGAGA